ACCAAATCCTGTACACAATTCTCATTAACATAAACCAGGTGAAGTTTCACTGTCACCTAGATGTAAGTTAAAGCTGTTATGCAGAATTTCTTATCTCATGTACACAAATTTGTTTTAACATACAGAAAGAGGAAAATCCCTCCTTTTCTCAGTCTTCAAACAAGAGGAAAAAGAAGACCGACATTGCTGGTTCTTCAAGGAATTGCTAATCATTAAATCAATCTTAGCTAATTTTTCAACCCCTCTTTTCTGCAGCCAGACAGCCATATAGTACCCATTTGCTCTTGAGCCCAGTCCACTCCATGTTTTATAACAATAATAAAAATAATTTAGAAGCCTACACCACTTATTTTAAATAGCGTGATCTGTAAAATAAACAGTACATCTCAGCACCATTCCACAATAATGGAGCACAATATTCAGTCTCAAATACATTCAGATTCAAATATTCAAAATCTTTAAGCAACCACATCTGTGGACTTAAAGGCAAATGTAAATAATAACTCAGAGTGGTAAGCCTGTCTCACTAGCATGGCCCTAAGTCAGAGGGACCTCAGAGTAACCTTTTCCCAAGGGCAAACAAGAAGAGGGAGCAGGATCCACATCATCCTGCATCTATCCATAAGCAATTAATCTGCTCTGCCTTGAATAGTCAACATACTAACCTTTATGTCAGCTCATTTGTAGCAGGTGGTTGTTATGGTTCTCCACTAAAATCTTTGCTCACTTCCTAGCGCTATAAACCAATTTCTGCCTCCAGTGACAGACAGAAAATGAAAGTAAACACGCAGGTGATGCCCACATGCTATTGTCCGGGCTTGCATAGACATGGGGAAAACTTTGATATTTGTACGTCTCTAGGTCTCTCCCCATGTAAAGGTGGTTAGGACATCATGTTTGACATGTCAAGCTCCCTTCAGAGCCAGCAGGTCAATATTCATCGAAGTCAAAGATACCACAGTAAGTAAAAGTATGATCTGGACTCACATTGAGTGGTACGAAGTCATCAACAAACATGCAGGGCTGGAGAGATAGCTCCTCACAAATATATAACCAGGGATTTTCATATTGCACCTCCTGGGTATAGTAGTGTTTGACAAGATTTACAGAACTGGATCCATCAGAAAAAGAGAACATACAGGTTTAATAGCAACTGTTCGTAAGTCATGTCAGAGAGACATGGAGGCTTGATTGTGATTTCAGGGTAGGCCATGTCCACAGTTTCTGATTGCATTTCATCAGCTATAATTTAGAATGTCTTTATCACCTCCACCAGAACAGAAAATAAATATTAAAAAATTCACTTCATTATCTCACAATATCCACACTTCAGCAATGAAGTAAATAAGATTCATTTTACATTCACACTTGAATATTGTTATACAGCCAACAAAAACAAAATATGAAGCCTTACTGAAGAGCAGTTTTAATTTGATAGCATTTCTGAAGTGTCTGGGGATATCTGCTGTCTATGAATGCTGCATAAATTCTGCCATTGTTTTCTACAGTACTGCAAAAGGAGAACTTCCAAGAGTTGTTCATAGCAGGAAATGCCTTCAGCCTATTTCTACCCACAACTAATAATTCTTAAGTTAATATCTGGTGGGCCCCTACAAGCATTTCAAAATTGTATGCTTACTGCAGTGGTCTGGTAAGGACTGTATGACCTACAAAAGTTGTTAGCGTGAGTTGTGACATCTCATAATGCCATGTTCTCCTGTCAGTTTTGTTTTCTGTATCAGTGGTTCAAGTTGTGATTAGGAAAAAAGTAGCATACAGTGGTTAAAAGAGATGTTTTTCTTTTTATGACTTCTTTCTCTTTCTTTACAATTAAAAAGAAAATCTTACTCTGAATCACTGCTAACCCATTCCTCCTCCATCTTTTCTCAAATCCCTCAGTCATAAAGTGTTGACGGTATTCATCAAGATTAAGAATACAAGAATTTTCTATTTCATTTATCACTGCCTTAAACTTGCTTCCCTTCCATAAGGAAGTTTCATACTACCTACCATATTATTATACAAGACCGGTCTTAAAAGATGCCTCTATTCACAAACTTTTTATGTGCCACAATACTAAAAGAGTTGCATATGTAACATCAAACTGTATGTCCAGTCATGTTAACAATAAATAAGCTATTAAAGGATATTTACAAAGAAATATGAAAAACACAGCATAAGTAGCATGATTATATATTCAAATGGATATATCAATCCAGACAAAAGCTAATGAAACGTGCTGGTCATCTCATTTTCATATTGTCCACCAAGTTTTTGCACCTTTCAAGCAGCCTATTTCTATTGCTCATAAGCAGAACTTGATGTTCTGATGTGGATGACTATGACCATTTATGCTAGCTGAGGAATTGGTTTGAAATTTCTAGCCACACTTCACTTAAGACTTAATAATACACATCCTAACAAATAAATCTATTTGATATTATGAAAAGTGTATTAGGAAGCTAAACTAGATGATTTTTAAAGAATTTGGGTTTATTTTTAAGGAAATGTGCATACTGGAAGATACTTTTATTTACTAAAGTGCATTTTTTTTCTATGAACTTCTTAAAGTTCAAAGGAACAAGAGCCCAAAAGCCACAGAGTAAAAGATAAAGCATTAAATTCTCATTGCGATGTACACTAGAGTCATTTGGATGATTATGCAAAAAATGAATTTTCAAGCTACTGTCCTGTTCTTTACATTTTAGCATTAGTTTTGGGATGCATTTCAGAAGCAGACAATACCTACTCAGTTAGAAAGAGATTACCTTAAGTCTTCTTTATGAAAAAATAGGGAGAAGTGGGAACCTTAAGCTCACAGCTATGTCTGTTTTAACTGTGCTGAGCCCATTTGTGTTTCACTGTGTTGGTGCTGAGAGCTTTGCTCTGATTTGAAAGGTCAAAGATAGGAGGAGTGATTTCTTACAGACTATGTTCTTATTTCTGGGTATTTGGTCATAGTACTCTAAATGTTCACTAAACAGACCTGGGCTTAAATTTTTCATATTTCATTCTTTAGAAAAGAAAGTCATTCTCTTTCAATTCATAAGGCTAAAAAAGTTAAGTCAAAGTACAAAAGTACAATTTCTCAGTGTGTCTACTCTTTCCTTGTTTGTTCCATTTTTGAGTGACTGAGCATTTGATTCAGCTCAGGCAGCCACCACTCCCAGTTCCTGAGCCTCAGCCAGGTCTCTCAGGCCCATTCACAATTCCAGAACTAACTTTCCATAATTATTTTATTTCCTTAATCTTCCCAATGGCTGGTTCAGCCCCAGGTGGGCCTCATTCCTCTCCAAGTTCAATAAGACAGTCTCTTACTCCCTCTGCTCTCCTGTCTCCTCCAATTTTGATTTTTGTTGGCAGCCTTACAGTATCTCCTGTCCTCTCTCTTATGCACACACAAACACACATATGCACGGACACACAATAGATGGGAAATAACATTTGAAGAAAAACAATGGCAAGTTGCAATTTTCCACACCTTGGAAAGAACTGGGAAAAAAATTTTAAAAAGTACTAGGAGGGGAAAAAAGAGGATCACAAAACTGTAAATAAAGGGGAGGGAAAAAAGAAGAGTTTGAATATATCAGTAGGAAAACAGTGAAAAAATTGTTACTCATATATAAAAGAGTGAGGGGGAAAAAAGTAAGTTATAGTGGTGATGAGAAGAAGATAGAAGAAATAAAAATAGAAAAAACTTAAGCCCCAAATAACTTAAAGCTCAATGTAGCTTTGCAATTTCTACCCTCTCTGCCCAGAATTTCTATCTCTAGAAGTGTTGAAAAAGATGCAAAAATCTCCAACCAGTTTCATGTTATTGTCTCAGTGTTAGCTTACCACACAGTATTCCCAAAGCTGAAAATTTTAAATACTTGAGCTTTCCCTCAGCTTTTTCCACATGTTAACCTGGAGTGCAGTACATGTCATCATGCAAGTGTAATGCTGTATGCTACACCCAGGTGTAGCATCTAACTGCAGCCTTCAGAGACTAAGTCTGTCGGCTTCAGCTTAATAAACTATTTAAATACATGGCTGATTTAAAGCAATGTCTGAGTATAACCCATGGAAGCCGGGTGTGCCTCCCAGCTCCTACAGCCATGTGTGTGTCTGTATGTCTGTGTGTGCCCCAGCTGCACCCTGGTTTCTTGCTCACTCCCTTCAGGCCTTCGCCCCCACACTCCAGTTTCCGGCCCAGCCAGGTCCCCCCCGGCTGATCAAGGACTTGGTTATGGAGCACTCCCCACTGCTTAGACAGAGCCTCTGGGAGTCATCCAGTGCTATGTTTGCAGCAGAGCTTTGACTCAGGGTAATTATCTTGTGAGCTGAGCCTTGTACGAATATTGTCTACTAATAGGTTTGCTGTGAAAGAGCCTATCTTTTCTCACTCACAAAAGCAGAAATAAGTTCAGTTCATTTTTTAAAGAAATTACTTTAACAGCTTGTGCCATATTTAGGAAAAGGAATATAAGCACACACTGAGGCAAATCTGGTAACAAAGGACACACATTGGTTTGGTAAAAGCAACCAGAGCACTCACATGGCCACATCTCTATGAACTGCACTGAAAGTGTGCTCATAGGTGTCAGTAGTTCATGCTTGGCCATCTGTATTTTGTCAACAATAGCAATTCACTTTTTAATGAATGTTTAAAGTCTCAATTCCCACAGGAGTAACAGCTACAGAGAGCATCAGCTATTGCTGAAAGAACAGGGATTCTAGGAATAAACAGAATATTGTGGAATGGCAAATGGGAACCAGTGACCTCATTATTCTGGAAAATGTCTCTTTTTGAACCACAAGGAACTCTGACAATTGTAAAGGTTTAGTCATGAACAGTGGAGTTTTGCAGAGATAGAGTGAAAGCAAAATTGAGCCCCCTGTGTACTTATGGCAGTTCTTTATTATGTGCCATATATTATCATGTTGTGTTGTGTTTTGCTTTATCGTTGTTGCATCTTTATTAGAGGTGGGCCAGAAATAAAACCCAGATGTAAACATACCTGCACTTCCAAGGCACTTGGCTTAAGTTAAGAGCGCAGCAGCTGAAAGCTATCCTCAGCATATATTCTTCTAGAACATTTATATTCTTCTTCTCTTAAAGTAAAAAACAGGGAAAACATTTAAAATAGCAAATAAAATCTTTGCTGTTGTAAAATAATTATATATAATGTTGTTTGCTACATTTTAAAATAATCTGGCCATACAGGTATGGGTAATGATTCTGACTTTAAAGAGGAGAGCAATTCTGTTCTCTAATCTGCAGTATACAAAGAATGCAGGACACATTCTTGTCCTTAAATCTAGGGATTTCCTTTGTTTAGGCTTATTAGGCGAATTACAGACTGGTGTCTTGCAGTCAGACAGTGAGGTCTGCACTGGATTATTGAGTTGTAGGATACAAAACCATATAAAGAAAGAGATGTCATAATTCCAACGACAGTGGAGGAGAAAAATATCCACTGCTGACAGGCCCACTTACTCACAAGTCCATTGGTGTCAACATACATAGTAGTAGAGACAGACTAGGTTAGGAAAGAGTTTGGTACATCTGGTTAAAAGGGAAGTGTGAGAGCTAAAGGGGAGCAAAATACTATATGTCAATATTTGCCCTACTGAGGAACAGCAGACACGTACTGGAACTGAAGGATACCATATATAAAGAAGTAACCACATGTAGTATTTCAGCCCTGTGCCCCAGCTGTAAAACATTATTTGAAGTTATAATAGATGCACAGCTGTGGGAAGGTGAGGGTCATCCATTTTACATACATATTCAAATTAAGAATGCAGGGCTGCTGGCACAGACCATCAGCAATGATATGGCCTCAAAGGTAGGAATGTACAGAAAGACAGACAAAAACCTCTTTTTGTTTTCTCTTTTAGAGGCTGTTGTGAACTTTTTCACTCCTCTCTTGCTTGTGCATGGTTAAGCCTGAAGGTGGAAAACTACGACAATCCTGAGCAACAAAAGTACGTATATACAGAAAATTCAGTAATTAAAATTAAAAAAAAAAAAAAAACAAAAAACCAACATACACAAAAGCCTGATTTACACCTAAATCAGGTGGTGTCTAAATGCCCTAACTGGCTTAGTTTTCAATATTCAGCTGTGTTTCTTGAATCACACATATGGTCATGGATACCCTGACTAGACTTATGTTCCATCTGAATCAAGAAACTAGATGTTTTCCACATATGAACATGCCTGCACAGCAATACACAGGTCATATGTACCTCAACTAGCTCTTAATGAAAAAGTCTGGGTACCAGAAGCTCATAATTTATTGTTCTTTACTGACTATTTATCCTCTTTTGATTTGTCTTCACAACCTTCCACTATGACAAACAGAATTTCTAAGATAGGAAGTCACTTCAGATCATCTACTGTGAATCCCTGCTTAAAGCAAGCGCAGCTAGAGCAGGTTGCTCAGGATCATGTTCAACTGCAATTTTAAATATATCCAGGTACAGAGACTCTACAAACTTTTCAAGCATCTTGTCCTAGTTTCACTGACCACTGTGAAAAGGGTTTTTTTTTTCTGACATTTAAATGTAATTTCTGCTGTTTGAGCATAGTGATTGTCTCCTGTACTGCTGGGGCTGTGCAAGCTCAGGGTCTGCTCTAGGTGAAGCTCCCAGCTCTGGCTCTGCCTGCCCTTCTCTTCATACAATGAGTTCAGGCTCTTGCAGCTACAAGGTCTTGGACAATATCTCATCAAACTCCTTTCCTTGTCTCCAATGCAATGCTCTCTGTAGCCGTCCTGCAGCTCATTGACTTGGTGAGACAGATCCTCCAGTAGCGCACAGATCCTGCAGCTAAGGACACCATCTCCTCCAGCCCTAGCATCATGCAGGCTGCCAGTCAGGCAGGTAAACATCACACAGCTGCTCACTCACCCAACCCTACAGCAGGATGGGGAGGGAATTCGGAGAAAAAGTAAAAATCATGGGTTGAGATGGAGGGAGGGAGG